GCAAACACCACAAATTAACCCCTATTCCCCACAAGGAGATTAAGGACTTCATAAAAACTCCCAGAACTATCTTCAATTTAAGAGGATGTCAAAAGACAGAGTGGAAGGGTGTATTTGAAAGCCTCATATGAAAGATCACTAAATGAGGTCCTCCCTGGGAGCCAGGGAAGGGTATTGTTCCCTGGTGTGAAGAGTCCAGATCAACCAGGACAAGTCCTGCTGACATCTCTGCAGAGCAGGCAACTGCATTCATTCAAAAAGATAAATGTAAGAGTTCAAAGGTGACTTTCGTGAAGTATTGGAATGAGAATTATTCAGATCCTGTCAACTTGAACATTTAGCCCTGAAGTATCCCAAAACATTTGCTTTAGAAGCTTAGATCACTTTAACTATTTCCTTGTTAGCATGAATCTTCATAAATACTGAGACACTAAAAATTTTTGCAGAAAAATATATTGGACACTTCTGTCTTCCCTGAATCAGAGAACTCATGTTTTTTTCTGTTTAGCAGGGGAAATATACTTCTTTTCTTTCCTCCTAGTTCTAGCCCTGTTCCTTTGTTTATCCCTTAATAGAAATTCCTAACCAATTTTATCCATACAGATCCATTCTATTCCTTTGCATTCACCTTCACCTGCACACTTCTTCCCCCATTTTGTATGATTTCTATTTGATCTTCAAGCCAGTACTGAGCTCCTGATACAGCCATTATGGTCTGTTTCTACCATTTCTATCTCACCTCCACATTGTAGAACATGTACGAAAACTATGACTCCATCAGGAGCTGCAGTCTTTTATCCCTTAGCTGATCTTCCCAAGAAATCCTGTTTAGCAATTCCCTGAATTTGTGGAACTCTGTTTCTCTGAAATGTGTTATTCTGTTTCTCCATTACATTTTTTTTTCTTTAAAAACTGAGTTCTATCTTATGGTTTTCATTTTATCTTGCATTTTCAACTTCCTTTCTTAGTTCCCTCATTAACCAGAAGCCAATCTAAACCATCTGCTACAATAACATTTCACAGCTTCTGAAACCAATTGCCCAGCCCATTTCAGGACTTTTTGTACTGCTAGTAATGGTCCATTTTGCACATATTATTAATAATTAATATATAATTGTAAATTAAATATAAAATATAATTATCTGTAGTCTAATATATAACATGCATAATTTTATTATGTGATTTGCAATCTACTTAACATTACTATTCAAAAAATATGCTAGTAGTATGATTAAATTCATACAAGTGGTTATTAAAGCCACTCAGAAAACATTACTTAGAGTGTCTTCCTTGATTAACCACATACACAGTGCTCTCTCCTCTAGGGCAAAGACCTCAGAAAAAGTATATCCAGAATACCAGAACATAATATGCTCAGCCAAATTTCTATAAAATCAATCTTTCCTCAGAGAAAGAATGAAAATATTTCCATCAAGACTCTAGGACAAAACCATTCCTCTCTAAAAACTGATGAATAGTAAAACTGAGAATTTATGCTTCATCACAAAATCTTTGCATTTCTGGAAATGTGTGAAGTACTGTTCTATATATTTTTTTTTCTCAATTATTATTTTAAACATCTATTTTCCTCTATAATCTTTTCCTATAGTTATTACTTGGAGACTATAACCAAAACATGCTGTAATAAATAATGAAGTTTATATTTTACTCCTTTCCAGACAGGGAATTCTAGGAGACAAATTATTCATGCATTATTTTAGATTCAGAATAACTTTATGCCTTCTCTTTAGTCAGCTTCAAATACACCAGCTAGAGATTAACAGAAATGAGATGGATACAGTCAAGTCATTACAAGCTCTAATGCCACTGATCATGATGTGAAATATAAGATGTTCTTTTTACTTGCTACAGAAAACAAGTTTTGCTGACAATCTAGTAAAAACTTCCCATAATGTTTGTGGAAAATAAATCAACGTAACTTAAACGTAATTTTAAAACACTGCATTAGGTCTCCTGCCCAAAGAAACACTTAAAATTCTGCTTATTTGGCATAAAGGTGCATCTATTGCTCTTGTCACTCCTAGAAGTAATGAAAGCAGAATCCCAAATAATCCAGATATTTCTGACAGCAATAACCACTTTTCTAGTAGGAAGAAAAAAATTCTCTGTAATACAAGTAGCATGTCAATTAACAAAAAGTAGTCTGACAGCAGCCTTAGCAATACTGCTCAAGATTAATGCTGATTTGCAGCTTACAGCTATTTAACTATTACTCAAAATCTGTCCTGCTCTGCAGGTGGGAGATTGGTTTTCCTAAAAACACTATTTTTCATTACTTGAGACATTGCAGGGGAGTGGAAAATATGGTTCAAAAACCCAGAGCTTTTTCAATTGTAGCAAAAATTGACATTACATATCAACATAGCTTCTAGTGACTAGTCATTCTTTTATATTAAGATTTTCCTTTTGAACATATCAGCCAGAAGTTTACCTGCCTTCAGAGCCCTGAATTAGGCTAGCAGTGCTTTACGAATGCTTTTCTAGAAAAACCATCTCTAACTTCCACTACTTTAAACTGGGGAAAAAGAAAAAAAAACACCTTGGAATTTATCTATTTTTCATTATTTAATAGTACCATGAATTATTTCCTGGTAACTAATTGCAGTTTATGAGCCATTTGAGAAGAGATCACTCTGTGCTTGTGATTTGCTGCTTAGTCATATAAATGGCAAATTTTATTTTCCAGTTGAATAACATTGACATAAAGTTAGGAATTCACAACAAAAATGTAAAGGTAATATTTATTTAATATTTTAAAATACTTTTCTCTGTCCTCATATACCTAGCTCTCCACATTGATCTGATAAATAAGTACTATTATTTATACTAATAAAGACAATCGTTTCATTAAAGTAATTACAACACAAATATATAGCAAAATACATAGGGTGGTACAGGAAAGGAAGGTGTTCTCAATGTGGATGTGCTTAAAGGGTACTCAATACATGTCCAAATACTGAGTTTTTCTGGAGAAAACCTGAAGCAAGATAATGTTACAGCTGTTGCATCTGCTGTACCTTGCTGAAAATGGAAGTCTTCTCTGCTGCCAGTGAGAAAAGTAGAGGGCAGCAGAATCAATGATCCACATACAGCAGAGTCCTCTGGACATGCCTGTTCAGAACCGCAAAACAATAAATCTTCATTCAGTTCAAACCTTCACTCTGCAGTGAAAATGCCCTCAGGAGAACATTTTTTGCAGCCATTCCCATCAGCTGAGAAAATCCTCCTCAAACACTCCAACAGAAACATCCTCAGCAAGACAAGTAAAACAAACAACAAAGAGTGATGATGTTCTTTTGGGTGAAAACTCATATTTGGACAACATCATTACAACAAAGTATTTGGTTTAGATGTACAAAACAACACAGAACATTTTTCCTCCTCCCTGAGGAACAAAAACACAAAGCTTAGAGTCAAATAGAGTATAAAACCTACCTGACATCCCTCTTTTCTCCAACTAGGGCAAGTTCCAGCAGAAGTGAACCAGGCTTGAAGACAGCTGAGGAGGAAATCACGTAGGATCAGAGACAAGTTCAGCAAACAGTGGAGCCAGGTTAGCTGGACTGTCTGAATTAACTCCCTTGAGCAGAGCTTCTGCTTCAAACTCCTACTGAACTGACCCAGGGATATTTCCCCACACTGCAAAGAAATCTTGCCCTCAGAGCAAAAGTTCCTTTTTCTGGAACGGGCTCATGGCTGAACAGCTGCAGAGCCTGTTCTGTTTGCAGTGAGTAAAAGCTTTTGCAGAGAATACTGTTCTTGGAAAACATTTGGCTCAACATTTCACAGGCAGAATGAGCACAGTCTCAATGGATAAGCCTAGATTTTTTGGGAATTAATATTCAGAGATACAGAAAAATTCTATCACATTGCTGTAGTGTTCACAACATTAACTGTAAGCAAAACAATTGAATCCAAATATTGTGGCAAGCAATCATTCTCTTTGACCTTTTAAAAAGTTACACTGAAGTTGACTTTTGACAATTGATCACAAAGCTTATATTTATTTTTCCAAGATTATAAAAAAAATTCTACCAAAAGTTGTCGGGAGCAGGGATGCAGAGTTTGGAGCTGTCCTAGATGAGCAATAAAACCACTGCAGAGTCAGCTACAATGCCACTGCTATTCACGCAGTCTAGAAAAGCCATGCAGAAGAAAAGAATTTGCAGAACTTGAGAAAAGCACAATTATTTCAGTAGTTACTAAAAAGAGTGACCCTGAGGCGCTCAGGGCTTTGCAGGGCACTTGTAGAGGTTTCCACTGTAGTAAGCTCTGAAAAAACACCAGTAAGAATTTGAACTCCAAGAAGACAAGTTTCATTGGAATTAAACTAAAAGAGTTGCCATCTTAAAAATAAAATGCAAAAAGAAAAATTAAAACACAATAAAAATTAAATATAAACAATTCTTCCCAGCATACTGCCCATGTTGGCACATCTTTATTTCTAGAATTGATTTTCCTAATCTTATAAACTTTCTGAGCTGCAGAGAAGTCTGCCAGAGAAGTCTGGGTCCCTCAGATGCCTCTAAGGCCAGGTGGGCTGGTCCCAATTTGGGCCTTCTCACTTGCTGCCACTACAGCCTTTATAATCTCCTCTCCAGACAGGCTCAGTTCCACCCGCTTTTCTTTGAGAAACTTGATGTCATTGCAAGCAGAAAGCATGGAAGCATCAAATACAGCCCCATAAGAGAGAAACAGAAAAAGGAAAAGACGAAATGGAAGAAACTACTTGGTGAGTTCTTATTTATTTTCACAAATTCAGAATAAACTGCTCTGCTTTCAGAATATTGCATAATTCAAGCACACATTCCTACACAGGAATTGTTAGTTGGTAGAGAGTGTTAGTTGCTTTTCAAAGAGAAGTTGTATCATTTTAGTTTCTAGAAGAGTTCCATAAAAGAATAAACAATCCTTTTAAAGTCCTAGTAGAGATTTTTTAAAGAAAAGGTATTTCAAGTAATATTTTTTTAGAAAAATTATCTCTCTGTCCCCTCCTTCTTAAAAGGATCTTTTAAATATTAGCAAACACTAGAACATCTAAATATCAGTAAAGGATAGAGAACAAAAACCCCTGAAGTAGCTCACCTGATGACATCTCAAAGGAAAAGTTATCTCATAAGGACACAGACCACAAAAAAAATCCATTTTCTTTTGACATTCCTTCACCTCCTTTCTAAAAGGAGAAAAGGAAAAAAAAAAATAAAACAAAACTAAAATGGCTTTTGCACCATCTAAAAAGTAAAATAAATTAGTACATACACTGAAATAAATCTAAATGTGCAAAGCTGCAAAATCTGTTTCACTAGAGTTTGTGATTTCTGCTACAGCTTTACAAAACATTAATTTCCAGCAAGATACTGAAAAGCTTTTGGATGAAACTGCAAGAGTAAAAAGCAAATCACTAGAAAGTTTCTCACGTACAATCCTGCATTCTGACTCGCATCACTTGTCACCCCTACCATGAGAAGTGCCACTGTCCAAGAACTGTAAAATCTCTTCTGACACTGGTTTATAACAATTTGAGAGTTGGCGATTTAAATCTGGCACATAATATCTTCTGTCAAAATAATTACAGTCTTTTGGGAAATCTTTTCCTGTACTGTCTGGATTTCTTTGTGCAAGGTTGTCCCCTTGTCATTTGCAACCACATCCATAACATTTTAATGGCAACTTCTGGACCTTCCACTCTGCTACTGAGCTGTGCTGAGTAATTTTGACATCTTTTTTTCCCCACACTAAGCCTGATGAACAGTTTGGGCTGACAAACTGTAGCAAACAGCCCTATCTGTAATTACCAAAAGCAGCTGAATCTTAACTATTGAAACCACTGAAATGTTTGAAATTCAGAAACTTATTATATAAGTTTTAGGACTCCCACTATGAACAAAAATATTACAATTTAATATATATATATATCCTGTGGTAGTGAACTTTTAAGTGCTTTCCAGTTCTCTTCCATACTGTTGTTACATTGTTCTCTTCCTGCTATATCTTTGAGTTTAGACTAAAAATGAGGTACAATAATCTAATGCATTATGAGACTACACATCAGACTTTGCCTGCATTTATAGATCAAACTCTACTAAATAAGGATAGATAAAAATCACTAAAGCAGCTCACTTGGTGGCATCTCAGTTAAAATCTACCTAGCAAAGAATATTTTCAGTGACAAAAAAAAAAAAAAATCAGCTTCCCATTTTACTTTCTTTTTACTGAACTTCAGATTACAAATATGGCATAGCTGCATTCCAAGTACATTAAAAGGTACCAGGAGCTGAGTCTTCCCTGTGGTCAGTAAACCTGACTTCAAAGGTTGGATAGATTTTTCATAAAAACACAATTTAATTCTGATTTAGCATAAGTCTCAATTTTCAATTCATGAAACCAGAGAATTTGAGAAAATTTTGCTCTAAAAACACTGAAGTGCACTTTTCCTGAAACAGAAACTTCTGGGGTGGTGTGACAGTAATGACAATTTTCTTGTTGGACCAGTGAAGCACAGCAGACCCCGAGAGCTGGCAGGGCTCTCCCCACACTGCTCCCTGGGCAGAGGACCAGGCATGACCAAGGCCATGAGCCATGGCCACCAGGAGCCAGGGAGCTCAAACCCAACCTCAGCACAGCTCACTGGGGTTCAGGACAGGCTTGGGCTCTTCATGCCTTGAAGACCAAATTCAACACACTGTGGGGCCAAGCTGTGATGGGAAACCCTTACGAGCTGTGACCCGTAGTTCCACGGTGCAGGAATGTAACTGGCCCAGTACTGTCACCCACCTAAGGAAATGGCTGAACTTTTCTCATCTTCTGGGGATTTTATTTCAGAAGAAAACATCCTACCAGCTCCCTATGCCAGTTCCTTCCCGAGCACTAGGAAAGCCCTAAGACAAGCAGCTCTGGCACCATCCATCCAGCAGCAGTGGCACAAGGGCTGCACAGCCCAGCCTGCCCTGGCAAACACCGGGCACCTCTCTGAGCAGGGGATGGTTCTCATCAGGTTTTTGTCCGAATTCAGTGCATCAGGCATGGGAATCAATAACAGCTTCCTCTGTTGCTCACATCTTTACTGTATTTAAATTAGAGCTTTATTTAAACTGCTGTCTGTGACTGTGTTTTGGTATGCACCACATCACATCATTTGAGGATCTAGCTCTTGCATTTCTGTGGGGTGAATATATACTTCTACATCCTAAATGTTTCAGTTATAAAAAAGGCAGGGGGGAAAGACTGTGTGAACATAAAAGTTTACAGTAATTAAACAATTAATTGCTTTTCTTTTCAGTGAAGAACTGAAGTTCTTCAGAAGTTCTTAAGTTGAATTTAATTGTCCCTTTCCAGAGGGAGTCTTCAAGTAATTTTAATTAATTAGGAACAATTTACCAAGATTTTTCCCTTAGCCTTCTGCTCTTTGGGGTCTGAATACAGAACAGAGGAAGACTACTGGAATGTCAGCAGGAAGAATTACTGAGTCCACTCCTCTTGGCCATTACACTGAGCTAGCAGAATAAAAAGGTTTCTCTTCCTATCCTCTCATGGCAATAGGGATCAATTTGCATTTAGCTCATAAGTCTATGAAAGGCAGATTGCACAAGAGATTGCCTAAGAATAAAAGCTTCTAAAGCATTTTTAAATTTAAAACTATGCCAAAAAGTAAGTATTTATCTTAAGCTCAAAAACATATACTTTTCTTCTGTTAAGCACTCCCATGAACACACTGGGTTTTTTTATTTCTCTGGTCTGTGACCATTTCCAGCTAGCAGATTTCAGTTAAAATGGAAAAGGAATTTCTCACCAGATTATTTTCTGAGAAACTACAGAAGTGTGTCTTCCACAGATCAAATTTCAAAGGCCTGAACATTGACCCAAGAGACAGAGAGCAATACAAAGATTAATCCGAAGCACACACGGTTCCAGAATTTTAAAAATTTCCAAGAATCAACCATTGGCAAAAAGGTTTTTCTAACAAATAACTGTACCTAGAAGAGAAACAGGTATTTTGCATAAGATAAAGAGGACAGTATCACAAGATGCATGCCCTCTGTGTCTGGACAGTATCATGTTTATAGACTAAACAAAATTTTAAAAACTAACAGCAAGTCTCTCTACATTCCATTCACTTTATCTTCTTTGCACACATACTTAAATATGAAAGCCAATGGAATATCTGCAGCAAACATTCCATTATTGGTTTGAGATCTTATCCACCGGATTAACATCCACTGACAAAAGTTTTACATCTGCATTATAAAAATATTTTCAATTCTCAGCCTTCATACATACATCAAAAATAGTGACAGTCATTTGCAGTACCTAACACAAACACACATTCATTTTATTCTACATTTTGCAATGCATGCTCCAATATAATGCTTTCAACATCTTAATAGCCTACATTGATGGCCACAGAAAGCTGGAATAAAGCAATAAATGCTCTACAGACTCTCACTAAAAGGATACAGATCATCAACATTTATGAGACAGGAACACAGGAGGGTAGAGGACCGAAAGTTGAACTATCTGAGGAAATTAAACTGAGATATAGAGGTAGGGTTTAGATAAGAAAATATTCCGGTGAAACAATGGATGATAATTTTTTGAGTGTTCTTTTGTATAACAAAGCCTCTTGGACAATGAGATCAGATCACCATCCTTCCTATTTGAACACTGACACTGGATACCTCCCAGTGCAATGCATTAAAAAAGTCTGATTGGAAACATTTTTGTGCCAGAGGTAGAAGAGATGAGAATTTTCCAGCTTGAATCTGTACTTTCAAAATGATGGGCATGCTCTTAATGTTGAAGACTAGAATTATAATAAATTCCTCTTCAATTTTCTATATGTGAAGTATTTCAGTGGATCAGCTGAGAAAATACCATTCTTGCTTTATAAAACACTGAGCTCTGCATGTACCATCCCTCCCCAGGCAGGATTACAGAGGATTTAACACATGTGTCTAGTGCTTTTTAAAGTTTAAGTATTATTTCTCAAATTGGTGCTTCAGTATAGTAATTATACACATTTGCAAAACTTTACATACAATTTTCTTAATTAAACTTGATACCTGTATCCCTGTTCTACTGAGATGTGTAGCACAATAGGAATCTGTCTATTACCCATGTGATGGATAAAAAAGGATTTCAAAATTTCACAACTGTGAGATTAAAAAGAGCTTCATGTCCTTCAATTTTACATTGTGTCATAAAGCTTCAGTGCGTTTTCTGATATAGGAAGTGGATATAAACTAGTCTTGCAGTCTCCCATGACACTCATTACAGAGCTATAAATACCATTCCCTTTCATTTACAGAACTTGAATAAAATCATAAAGTTTCTGCAGCTACAGAAAATATATGTATTTCAATATCTCATACTTAATATATAGAATCTGAGCAACTACTAAATATTTCAAGTAAAACCTAAAAAAGCCAGAAATGTTTTCTGAAAGAAAAAACATTCAGTAAGTTAGATTTTATTAAATCTCAATGGCTTATTTATTACACAGAACAGATTATAAAATGATTAGTCTACAACTGGCATATTCTCAAGTGTGTGAGGTACATATTGTTATTTTTTTCAGTCACTGACACAGTAAAATCATTTGAGTTATTTACAAGGCAACTTTTTTTAAAGCACTTTAAGCATATTTGAGTCTTTGCATAAAAGAAATATATTTAAATATTTTGAAATAAAATCCAAAGAACATCAAGTAATATAGATAGAATTTTGAATAACTATTTCATCTATCAGCTTACACATCCAAACAGTTGTAGCCCTAATGTTATATCTGCCACTAAAATTTGATGTCCAGATTGATTTGTATCTGGTCATTGTTTATTAGACATAATTATCATTGCTACTCAATTTTTTGTATAGATAAAGTCTGGTTGGAAGGATGGTGTTTCAAATGTCTGACAGCTAGGATATGCTAACATTAAATAAATAGAATAATGACATAAGAAAAATTATTTTAAACTGTTCAGGTGTCAGTAATTCTATTGTTATATTGTCATGCAGCTATCTTCAGAAATGCACATCAAATTTAGTCTTTGGTTAAAGTCACTCAGCTGCTCAGGTGAGGTCACTCAACTCAGGTGTTCAACTAGCACCTGAGTGCAGAAGCTGACCCCAA